CCACTTTAACTGTATTTTTCTTCCGCATCATGAACCTCATAATCCGCCCTCTGCAATGAAGGAATGGAAAATTTCTTCCGGTCTAAACTTGCCCTGGTCGTGGCTTACATCCCGAGCAATCGCGCTATAAACGGAAATATCAATTGTTTTAAGAGGAAAAGATGCTACCAGACTCACCAGATACACGTTATATGACGCCTCAGAGGCAACCGGTTTTGCAAACTCCACGCCTCCCTTTCAGATGTAACAAGCTGAGGTCGGCCATCTTACGATCAGGCAACGCCACCAGATATTTCTGATCTCATGTCTCTGCAGGTTCCAAGCTACCTTGGTTGCGCACAATCTGGCCAGTGCACTTCCCTCATATTCACACGTCCTTACCAGTTTGCACCGGCTGCGTACCTATTATCTGCACGTAGACATCGATTGCCGTTTTTGAAATCAGAAACTGACATCTCATTGAAGTAGCTATCAACTGTGACAGCTTTGACTCTGTTATTTCGGGAGACGTTAAAACTCACGTGAAAGTGCTTTCTTACGAACCTTTCGGAAACTTCTGCCTATTTTCAGTTCCCAATGTTGACATGACTTTCTTATAGCCCCGTTGAATGGCAGCAGCAAACCGCCGTAAACTCTCGATGAACCCAAGAATATCCTAACTACAATGACGATCTTAAACGGCTTACCCAAGATGTTAATAAACGGGGCTGTCCAATGACCGAAGTACGGCGGCGCAATGACGGTACCGCGAATGCGATACCCAGTCTGATGGCTTGCCTGTAGTTCGCTATATCTGTGCTATTTTCCAGACAAGCGTGTTGCCCACAAGACGTCTCAGTCCGTTGGGTTTGCGCGAAGACTTGAGAGCAGTGGCCATCTTACTGGTCGTCCGCTTGTTCTGCCCAAGAATCCAATAGTTTATCCAACGGCACAAGTGGTGGCTCTGTATATCGATCAAGATCAGACGTTGCCTTAAGCTTGATATAACGTATGCTGACCATCATCAAAAACAAAGAACTTACTAGCTGTGGCAAATTCCTTGGCTTCAGCGGGACGCTTGCTGCAACCTTAGGAGATTTTTTATCCAGGGTGCGAATACTCGCTCCAATTTGAGTTTGCATGGACGTAATGGACGCGATTAATATCTAAGTCTTTTTGAGGTTATTTCTGAATCTAACACGTAAGAAAACATGCGAAGAAACCAGTTCTCCCACAAAACCTCCCATCGTATTTATAGAGACGATGGTCAAAGCCGCCGACAGCCATCAAAATAATTATTCCGTGTCAGCGGTTGACTCCGAGTTCGTTTCAATGACTTCTAATCAAACTGCGGCCGCGTGTGGAGATCTTGGGCGCCCGAATAATTAACACCGAATGCTAAAATCTTTGTTAAAGTTCCCTTTTTCGAAGCACGGTTTCAGAGAAATTTAGTGTATGTCTAGGACGCGGCCCATAACACCGTTTCTCAGTTTGCGTGTGTGCCGAAATGATCAAAGTAGAGTTGCTCAATCACTCGAGGCTTATCTTTCCTCGAAGGTCCACTGGCGAAAACGCCACGCGCGGATAAACTTAGTTCCCAGTAAACTACCAGTGTGCGACCAACTTCCGTGAGTTTTTCCTTCCATCAAACAGCTTGAAAAAGTCATTTAGGTCCGGATTGTTGTGCATTTGGCACATTCGTTGAATGAAAGGGTAAGCAAAAAGGCAATCCTTATCGCGGTTGCCTAATAGGAAGTGGAGTTCCTCTAGTGCAGCGCCTTGCGCTGCGTGTAAGATAATTGGTGCCGAAAAATAATAACGGTAAGTGCTAGTCTACAAAAGTTGCACTAAACCAGACACTGTTCAGATGTGTCACTGCCAAACCCGCATAGGAGGCATAGCCCCACAAGATAACTGCAATTTATGAGCACTTCTTAAATGATCAGAACGTTTGATATGGTGTGTTTTGTCTATTCTAAGTGATTACTTTATGAGGGATCACCATGAAAAAGGAGAACCTGATATACCAACCAGCTTCAGCTCATACAAAAGTGATTGGGTAGAATAGCCCGTATTGGACATTTACAGGTATCTACCCCGACAAGAAAAGCTCATTTGCAAATTCAGAACTGTTCTAAAACCGGAAAATCCACACGCGGCAACCATACAATCACAAACGAAATAAACGGGATTTTCCAGAAGACGGAGCAGCCTAACGCTCAATGCCCACTTGTATCTTGTATCCGATTCCTGAAAACGCATCAGACATCTCGCACTAAGTACCAAGAAAACGATTTAAGCTAACGATTTAGCACACCAGTTTGCCACACGAATGGGAAATTATAGTGTGAATAGCAAGACCCGGTGCGACAGACATGATAACCAATGCATCATTGGTCAGTTCCCTGAACAGCTGACTGCCTTGGGTGGGAAAATACGTTGTGTCTGCCACTACTGATCGCATTACAAACCCGATAAATCCATGGCTGCAAAGTGGCTGGAGAACTTTCGAAGCAAAAGGTGGAGCATGATTTTGGTACCACCTTCCTGTCAGTGGTTATCTCTCCCACTATTTCAACTACACGGACCTCTGCCGTGTATATTAGTGCTTCAAACACTGGCCTCACCTACTCACTTCCGTGGATTATTATTACGATCACCGGGGAAGAATATCCCTTCTCTCGCTGTCCAAGAACAGAAGCATTTCAGTGCAGTGGTAACATGATAATACCCAGTGTGATGGCACCCCGGCTTCTATTTTCTTCAGAATCTCATCCACAACCCGTCTCTCCTTTGCGGTTGTAATTCCAACAACTACCTATTTTTCCTCCCGGCCTGATTTGCCTCTCGGACGAGTTAATCCTAACCTGCTATAACTTCCGTTCGAATTTAACTTACTTGTTTTCCTGCTGAAATTTCAGTCTTCCTCCTCCACAAGTTCATTTTTTCACGGCGTCGTTTGGCCCCATGCACTAGCACTATCTCCCAATAGAATCTAATTTTTACAACTGACTTCCCTACAGCAGTGAGACCAGTGAGTCCACTTGGTTTCAATCTGAACAATACATCCGAGCGAAACTTACCATTTGTCTTTACTTCGAACTTTACCATCATCGCAAGTTTTGCCTTTTATGACCCTCGCCATTTATTCGATCGCCCGAAGTAAGTCATGACTAGCAATGGTTTTCATTTTTAGTTCATGTCAATCGGTTTCAACTTCGAAGTAACCGTACCTTGTGCCCACTGTCCTACCTTTTTCGGGTCCCGAAAAAGCGGCGACGTTTCACGTGATGAGCATGCTTCTTTGGCTTTACGTTCCTCCCCGCAGTGTTGTTGTCTGCCACGTTCAGGTTGCGACGCCCTATCATGCCCCAATCGGCATGTTTCTTCTAAGCTTGAAAATAAACTTAATGTTATTGTTATTGTCATTTGGAGCGTGACCAACGCGGTATCTGACGGCTAAACTTTGACTCTGCGCGTTGCGTTCCTTGGGTTGAGTTGCCCGCATTTAACGTTTGCTTGCTCTTTGGTGACTAATGAGGAGATCTGATCGCCCCTCCAACGTTGCGCTGAGAATTTAAAGAGCAGTTCTTCATTCTTTTTGCTTGTGCCTTTCAGGGGAATGGCAGCCGCCGAACGACAAGAACGAAACCTACCCGGGAGACTTTGGCGGAAGCCTCGATCCTGTCGAAACCGTGAATTCGCCTGCAATCTCAATAGTGTGCTCCGGCTGTAAAGTCGATGGGTTTGGACTGGAACCATGGAAGAAAAGCCCGCTATCCAATGCTTCAGTTCGAATTCCTCAGCAGCTCTAACTTTGTATTGCGTGTGCATTGCGTCTTAATCGATAGCGCTTGTTGGGATTTTTGAACGGGTCTATGAGCGTCACTTGATTTTGACACGTAGCTTATGCTGCTTTTCCACGCTGGCAGCTAAGGACCTTAACCACGTTTAATTTGTGCCAAATTCACTTGATCTCTGGGCCGTTAGCTTTGTGTGTCCATTCTCATTGTCCGATCGCCCTGCCGCCTCTACGCTGCCTGCCTGCCTATACCAAGTGCGCTGCCACCTGGTCATGATGTTTCTTAACCCATTATTGAACGCCCCAGTCAATCCCCTCATTCATTTGTTCCCATTGCACAAGACCTGAATACCGACAACATATACTCCATGGTCCTAGAAAATTTCAATTCGCGCAATCACGTGAAGTGTGAAAACGAGCCAGATGAGGTCGAACAATGACTCGGTAGCTGCAGTGGTCATTGCCGTCTCCCTGAATGGCCGAGGTGGGCCACATCAATGGTTGGAGACATTGTCAGGCATGATTTAGTCACGTCCCCAGTAGCGTTCATGCATCCAAGCAATTGTCCCCAGTGAGAAGCTCCTTTCCTAATCTACTCGAATAAAAGTCCACTGGCAACTCTGTAGTTATTCATCAACCCGTTTTGTGAAGAACGTGGGTTTGATGGAAAACCTACAAAATCACGTGACGAACTGTTTTATGGGGGTCTAGAATGTTTCCTTTGAACTTCACTTGATGGGCGTCTGGTCGGAGTTAGACAGCCAACCTTATGACCTTGGACTGATGCACCTTCCGTTAGAATAAGTAGCTTTCCCGGAATAACAGGTAATACATCAGCTCTTGGAAAATGGATCAGAGTCCGCCTGCTGATCAACTCAGTAAACCGCTGAGATCTTCAGAACCATTACCTATGGCCGAGGAATCGTTTACTAACTGCGAGCCCCACGGATTTTTATAGATACAGCCTGCTTGCTTAATTATGCCATGTAGCCGGGTTTTCCGCCTTGGTACGCCTCCAGTACCCCCAGTTTTACTCCAGATAGTGGCCACATTAGCGATGGTCGATTTTCGATTTCCCACCAACCCTCGCTCATCATTCTTGCTTTCCATTCCATTTTAACTAGACTATAATCGTACCTCGACAGTTAATATCGTTGCTAGGTCTTATAGTACGTATGGGAAAATTTTTATCACGACATGGTTGTATTTGTAAGAAGCACTATATTTTCTGAAGCTGTGAGTGATCGAAACAATTTCTTTCTTGTTGCAGCCCACTTGTTCTTCCGGACTTCTTATGGAAGAAAATTAGCACTTCTTCTTTGGCCAAATCAACCATGTTGTGAATGTGTCGTCTCCTCTTCAATGACTTTTGGTACTTGGGTTTGAACTTGAGGATACTGAATATTGGACCAAACCGAATAATAAACGGGGCGCGACTTTCATAATAGAAGCGAGGATGGTGACCTCTTTTAAAGACCTCGGAAAAAATACACGGGATCTCTTTGATAAGCATTTCAAGTTCGGGTTCCTGAATTTTGAGTTCAAAACAAAGACGGCAAATGATATTGCCGTAACATGCGGTGGTCAGCATGATTCCAAATCACAGCATGTTGCTGGTTTTCTTGAAACAAAGCTGAAACCTGCGAAGGGGATATCTCTAAAGACCAAGGTCGATTCTGCGTGGGTGATAACCAGCAATTTGGAAGTGGAAAAGAAACTCCACGAAAAGTTGTCGCATGATGTTGTTGCCACAGTGGAGACGGAATCAGGGTAGGTTCAACGTACTCCGTTCACCGCTGCAGGAAAAAGGCGTTGTCGATGCGAAACAAATTTAAGCATGATCTTGTAAACGTTACTCTTGACATGGACTTTAAATCCCGCTATCCGCAACTCGTGGGTGCTTTTGTCGTCCCGTAAGTACCACTTATCACACGCATTTGGTAGTGTTCCTCAGTTCAAGCACATCGTGCTCGGCGCACAGGCCGTTGTAGACACCGAACCATTCAAGCTCACAAAACACGTTTATGCGGTTGGCCTCAAACATGAAGACCTCCGTGTCCATGCCTCGCTGACTGACCACGCAAACGTCGATCTCAATATTTTCCAGAAGCGTGACGATTTGAAACTTGGTTTCCGGATCGGCTGGAAGAAGGACACAAGGGAAACTAGTTTTGGTGCCGCTGCCAAATACAAAGCATCTCCCGACAGTGGGTTGAAAGTCAAAGTTGACCAAAATTGTGTTGTGGGTCTCGCCTACCGATTGAAACTCGCCAAAAGTAAGTCAAGACTCAGTGTTCCTTCCATATATTGCTGTATTGCTTAATTTTTTATCAGTTCACAGGATCACTGCACCAGTAGTACGAGAATCAGTGCCAGGAACAACTTATCCTAGGTCCCACTATTAGTCCATATTCATTGTCAAATATGGACTTTTATTAATAGGATGGAGTGTATCAAGTTATTTACTCCGCAATGCTGTTATCGGTTGGATCACTCGGAGTGTCGAAACTTACTGGATCTCTGGCGGCGCGGCTTTTCCTAGCATCAAACAAATTATCATAGCAACAGGACTGCGAAGGATCAGTGTTGAACACATGTTATGCTGTTGATGATGAGCAACACGTTCATGAGAAGTCAACGGGCTCAAATCTGGTGTCCCTTGTTCAGTTGTTTGTGGGTGACCGGATGCATGTGGAATTTGGGTCCGATCGGTTTCACGTCCACATTCGTTCATGGTGCGCGGAACCGAGGTCCAGCGGTTTCTTGATACGTTGGCTGATCGGATGTCCTCATCGTGTTGGCTGGAAAACAACCGGTGACCCTCAATCATGTGATGTGAAAAGTTGGAATGCTAGACGTGCAACGTGTTGGGAAGCGGTGTGGGGCGCGTTTCTTTTTTCAGATTAAAGCTTGGCGAACACTTGTTGAGATACAGTTGTGTGCACGGGGACTACATATCTAAACAGCGATCCAGATTATCTACACATGATCGTCACAGTCAGCCAAATGAAGTGATGGATGAACTTCTCTGCCGTAAGAGTTCGTCAGGGCCATGGTTGGTTGACAGGAGGCTCAGTCAGTGGGGGAATAGAAGGTTTCAATAACGTACTTGCAGTCCCTCCTCACCCAGTCCTGCCTTTGGGGTTCCCAAATAGGCTACTCACAAAGTGCTATTTTGTCTTCTGATAGAGTTCAACTGTTGCTTAACCAGTTTAACGGGAAAATGCTTCATCCTACAATTTAATCTGTGCGGAGTTTGAAGGAGGGTCTGCTTGCGCCATCGTCCTCGCTGGTTGTTGAACTGCGCCCTGAAATCTAGCCCACACTATAATTGCTTCGGAGACAATAATTATCAACAGAAGAGTGAAATAAAGTTTCAGTAAGGGCCGAAACCTCCCGATTTGACAGACAGTACGGACGTCAAAAGCAGCAATGAGGATAAGTCACTTTGGTTTGTTTTGCTGGTCAGTAGTTCAGATAAGGAACATTGGTTAAGTGGCTTAACCATGGCGGGTCCTTTGGAGATTAGGGGAGGAGTGCAGATGGGGGCCGGTGAACGAAGAACTGCAAAGGCGAATGATACCTCTCGGTTACCAAGGCTGCAGAGGCGATGTTTTGAGTAGTCCTGGGGCGGGCCTTTAACTCGAAGGTACAATCCATAAGGTAGCTATTAGCTGGGCTTAATCGGGGACTCCACTCATTTAACTAGCAGTTCGACCCGCTCGGCTGCGGGGCAAGGGGCTGGCTCAGCCCGAGGGCTGGGAGAATGGCATAGGTGTCTCACTCTTAATGCTTCTGTGTACAGCAGATGCATTTGGGCCGCACAGGTATTCTAAGTTCAATTAACTTCACCGTACCGGGTTATTCGCCAATGGTCACGGTCAGTCGTTTTGTTTTCAGTGGTCCGACGTTTGTTATCCCGTCTTTTCACAGGGTTGCAACATCACTCCTTCCGTGGAAATGGAAACGTCTCAATGCCCTCCCATTCCTATCTCAAAGGGTAGTGCGAATCTACTGCTAACTTGCCGCGTGATACTTGTATTACGGGGTTTCGTGGTCTTTGTTTGAGTACTCCTATTTGGACTTTCAAACTATGCATCTTATGGAACGAAGTTCAATCTAGCGAATCCCGAGAAGTGTTTACAGCACTAGGGACCTGGGCTGTAAGTGGCGTGTTCAGTGGCTACATGTCCACGAGCATGACCTCACATTTTGTGGGTGCAAAGGACGGGATGACTTTGGCTAATCCATCCAAGAACACTTGTGCCTTCTCCTCCTCTTCGAAGACGAGAACGATGTCATTTGCATACTCCACGTTCTCAAGGATTTTGTCAAAGGCTATTCGAACACCGGGGTTCTGGAAACCTTCCAGCGTTGGTCGGATGATTTCATCGATCATGAAGGTAAACAGAAATAGGGAGAGTGGGCATCCCTGACGGACACCACTTTGTGTACGGAGGCTTTTGGAGAGCTGCGTATGTCCGGAAGTCTGAGAATACAAGGGCCTTGCGGACAGATGATGTGAGACGTCTTCAGGTTTTCGACCACCGATGCCTCAAGCGTGGTTGGTTATGGATGGCGTCATCGTGGTGATTAGAAAACGGGTATTTGGTTGTGCTGCAGGCACTTTAATCCGAGAAAACACCCAGCCTCATCAAGCGAAATTGGCCCGATCACTCATTCAGCGGCGCTGGTGCATCAAAGCTATTGCCTTCCACGCGTAGGTATCCAGTTCCCGAACTAAAAAATCATGCCGTCGACACCAATAATTGGTTGTATGTCTCACCCTCTCACTTTCCGGTGATCGAAACTGCAGCAGCTGGAACCAATATATGGTAGAGGGTAGAAGGCTTAAAGCTGGTAAGCTGAAAACGAATTGAACGCTCTCATCGATGTGAGCCCCAATAAGGAGTGCAGTTCTCGTGCAACTAAAAGTCACAGGGTCCGCTCACGGCTTCAGCACTAAACTGAAAAGTTTGGTAGAAGTTCCGGCGTGATTGAATGCTGTCAACCGAAATCAAAGCTCGACTTCGGATACAAGTTTAGTTACATATCGAGCTGTGGTAGGGTTATCCCCTACTCCAGTTCCTCTTCGTCCACACTGTCAATTTGGTCATACTAGCAGATGCCAAAGTATAACGCTTGCGTAAGGACCTCCGGTATAGGATGATGATGACTGCCCGGAAAACCCGAAAGTAGCTTTCAGTTGCATCGGCCACTACACCGACTTAATTGAGCTACAAATCAGAATCCCAGTCGAGTACTTTCTCCACTGACTTGTCCCTTTAGAGATAACGTCCAAGCTGCCTAGTGCGCGTATGGAACGGATAACCTTACTTGCATACCTCGGTTTGTGCCCTCCTCAATTAGTTAGGTTGAAGACGAAGAGATGGATATTGATATGGTACAAAGCTGAGGTGAGCCTTAGCACTGAAATCTGAGTCTGTGAACGCAAAACGTTGCTATTGTGATATAAATATACTTAAAAGCTAGGGGACTCCCACTGCGTCTTTTGGACTGTTCTAATAACAACTTGGAACAATAGGGCTTTCGACGCGGTAGGTCGGTAATGCTGGTGGCGCAAAGAAGTGATGTTGAAAGTCCACGACCAAACATTCTGCCGACATTGACGTCGCGTCATCGAGACCGATTGAGAACGTGCCTCAGTACAGTCAAGTAAGGCCCCCGCTCCAGTGCTTTGGTGTCGGAAAAAATTAGCCAAGAAGGATCGCAACAGCTCTATTATGAACAAGCGAATTCAAAATTTACAAGTGGCGTCGCGCTATTTGAGGACCACTTTTGGCATTAATCCAGGCTGTCTGATCGGCGTTTGGTGAACAAACATCATCGCCGACCGTGCTTATATAAAATTGCTGAACGCTTACCATCGTCCATCATGCTTCTGTGAAATATCTGACACTTATCATTGTTGGCCGCGCTTCTGTGGTGTGCTTGAACACTCATCGGCCGTTGCTGAATTGACCGATTGATCGATTGGCCTGGATGCTTACCGGCTTACCTATTGAGATTTTGACGGATTTCGAGGGTCTCAGTAGGTTTCTGGGATTAGTTTCAGGAATCTGACCTTCGTGACAGTAATCCTGACATCCAGTCTGTGGTGTCAGTCGCTGGAAATGAGGCTGTTTCGTAATCTGTATAGAGCTAGCCACCGAAGGGCGTTTATGAGAAGTACCACTCTGATGCATTTGTGGAGCGGGCTCGTGCTCTCGGAGTCGAGTGCAGTCAACTGTGGTAAGTAGACATTCTCCGGAATTTATTTCCAACTAACCATACACTACGTCGAAGCATTTTTACCGGGAAGCGGGGGAAGACATTATCAGTCATGTAAAAACAACTAACCGACAGCTGAAACCACACTGGCAGATGCACTTCAGGGCGGAGCAAAACTGCAACTATCGACGTGGGAAAAGTTTTGGGATTTGATTTACAATGGACGCTATCCTGTTTTAAGAGGGGCTTATCAAGAAGAGTGGAAAAACTTTTTCATATAGATTTCTCTTTTTGTCCATTGGTTCCACCTCAAGAGAGCCAATCTTTCAGAGGGGACCACTTTAGCCCATTCCTTCAAGTGGTCATTCTGGGGGCTAACTCTGGACAGAAATCCTCGCACAAAAGGAAAGTCCCCTGTTTTTAAATATTGAAACCACCCTAAGGATAAGACTTGGCACGACAAAGGTGCGGGTGAAAATGCACGTGTACGGATGGTGATCGCCGCGGATTGTTCTGGCCACTCATGTCCAAGCATAACCAATCTACCGGTGTAGACTGTGACGACCTAGCTGACGAGCTGTATCCTAACTCCCAAGTGAGGTTTTCGCAACAGACCGCACCTAAACTAAATTCAGTGGTTCGTGCAACGTTGTGCTTCAGAACGTACAGTTTCTGAACATATCACTTACAATTCAAGGAGAAACACTGGGGTGTGTGGAGAATTTTACACAGATCGGTATTTGTATTAGCTCTGACGGAAGTATGTCTGATGAAGCCAATACACGAATCTCGAATGCCAGAATCGCTTTACCGATATGCGTCACTTGTGGCGTCAAAAAGGTATATAACTGGTATATAACTGGGTCGCGCGTACCAGGTTCACTAAGGGCTGTATTGATGTATGATTCCGAAACATCTCCCCTGCGGACGGATGATGTGACCCGTCTTCAGATCTTTGGCCATCGATGCCTTAGAAGCGTTGCTGGTCTTCGAAGACATCGGTGCACTAGCAACAAGGTGGTTAGAAAACGTGTGTTTGGTTGTGCAGCAGGCACTTCAACCGCGGAAAACATCCAGCACCATCGACTACGGTGGGTCGGTTATGTTCTACGAATGGCGAAACACCGTCTGCCGAGACGGCACTTGTTCTTTGTGCATCCATCAGAATGGCGGAAATCGTAAGGTGGACAACGTATGACTGAGCAGAAAGGGGTGAGAATTACAAAGGGTTTGTGTGTTATTGGTGTTGTACGCCATCCAGAGTGGGGACCCTGAGACCCAACCTACGCTTGGCTGGAGACATTGTAAGAATTGGGGTTTGATCGGTGTCAGGGCGTTCGTGTGTTTAGAGGTGTAAGCACCTCATAATGTTTGACAGGTCAGCACCAGGTCCCCTCCCTCACCCACTTTCAGATGCACTTTAGATTAAATTTATGGTTGTACGGCAGCATGGCATCAGTGTCAAAACTGATGTTCTTGTCTCTGATTATGATTATGACTGTCAGTTCGATCTTCATTCGTCAGCTGTAAAGCATGTATTATGGATAGATTGGTTCCAGCTGCTACAATCTCGATCACCGAAAAGTGGGAAAGTGGGACATATGGCCAATCATTGGTGGTGTTGTCAACTCCTTTGACAGATTTCTACCTTTTGCAACGGACCTATGAGGAAAAGTGGACGCACCCAGTTGTCAAGTCATTCTCGTGAACTGCAATGCATTCTGATCATGGAAGGCCTGCCATTCACCTGCTATACCCCAATCAACATCATCATCGGCAGTCTGACATCAGGGTTCAACACTGATGCCTCGATGCTATAGTTGTGCGTCCAAATGAAACTGGAATTGGGACTGAACTTAGGAGTGCAGTCTGGTAGGGGAAATTATATGTCCGCCAACACATGGATTATTTTACATCTGCATATGCGGTCCGTAAGTGGGTTATTGCCCATTAACCGTGTAAAATTTATCCTCAAATACCGTCACACCCCCAAAACCGCTAGAAGCTGTGTTCAGGTTCTTATGCGTCAGTCCAGAGACTATTTGTGGACTGATAAGTGATCCGTGGTCCTAGATGTCTAAGAAAACCATGGAGGTATTTCGTTTGCATTTCAAAAGTGAGTATAAGAGAGTAATGTATACTCCTGACTGGTTACACTATTCATAAGGTTGATGAGAGCTCTTCAACGATTGCTGGCGCGCTTCCAGAACACCGAATTGCCCCGTTTTATGGATGCAAAGTTAGTAGAGATCCCAATTTCGACAGACTATCAAGTACACTGGGCTGCAGGTAGTTTCGGAAGCCGGTTTGTCATCCATTAATTAGTGAACTGATTGAATGTTTCCACCGTTGCGTCAAGACGGCACTTTGTGTACATAGCTCTTTGTGGCAGGATGTTTTGCCTATTTGGTCTCTGTAAATCAGTAAAAGCCGACCCACATACTCCTGCAACAAAATCGCTGTATAGATGCTCTGACAGCTGGTCATCCTTAAACTTCCGTCAGCTTTTGATTACGGTTACTGGAGTGATTGTCGGTAGGGCCGTGAACACCCGTCACAAAGAGACTGGACCTTATCATGGAGTGACAGTTTGAGCACCCACTGAGCTATACTGGGGTGGGGTGTACCCGCGACACTCGCAGACTTTCATACCAAGTTGATCAATGGTTAGAGGTTCGGCTAGCACAGTCCCTGGTCATCCAGACTGGAGGTTGAAACATTTGTGGCGACTTGTTTCATAAAAAATGGTAATGTACTTGCATTTTCAGCCAAACACCACTGCCTTGTGGTTAGGATTTTGAGCCAAAAGCTCAGGTTGGGAACCCTAATCATCCTCCTGTCTAGGTGTGGGCGCCCTGGCAATGTTCCAGTCCACGTACAACCATGAGCTGCACATATACAAATAAACACACGCCAAATCGGCCGTCATATGATGCCACCAGCCGGGTCGCCTTACTCGCTACATACAGCAGGGCTGGTAAGCGAAAACATGATACTGCTGATGCCTACCTTTCTTGTTCATATACTTAATCCCTCCTCTCCACACCACATTAATAAAACTATCCTTGTGGGCCCAGCACTTACAAATGATGACTCAGTTTGTTCTGCTTCGGTTTTGCAGACAACATCTGTGCGTCATTCGGCGCCGACACCCTCAGGAATCTCGAAATCAATCGTCAAGCCCCGACGCCCTGTCTATCTGGCCGCCTTCAATGTCCGCACTCTGAAGCAAATATGGCAGCAAGGTGCTCTTGCTCACACACTGGGCTTGTTTGGCATTGATAAGTGCTGTGCCTCAGGAACAAAAAGTCAGGATGAAAGCACAGTGGTTAAGCTAACTGCCCCATCACTCTCCACTCACTTACGGATGCGTACCTTTGATGATCCAGAGGCTGTTGCGGCAGGATGAGCAGGGATTGGTATCGTCCTGAGTCACCTAGCGGAAGTATCCTTGTTTGACTGGATACCCGTTGATAGTCGCCTCTGTACGATTCGTCTGGCAACGTCTGCGAAGGAGTCTCACAAGCGGGAGGTTGATCGATGTCAGTTTGTTGCGTCTGCTTACCCCCCAACTGACTGTAGCTCTGACACCAACAAAGACAAGTTCCATTACGTCCTCAGTGCCATGTTGCAGTTAGCCAAATGTTTGGATATTGTGGTGGTTGCCGGAGACCTGAGTGTACAATTGGGCTGGCTTATGGCATCTGAGACTCAATTTATCGGTGCGTACGGACAATGAAGAACAACTGCTTCAGCTGTATAATGATCGCAGGCTGTTTCTATGCAGTACTAACTTCTGAAACAGCCGAAGTTGTCTGGCCACATGGTATCCTCCAACGGCGTGCCGGCCACGAACTCAATTCGATCACATTGCCATCAGTTACCGGTGGCGCGGTTCAGTAACTGACTGCCGGTCATTTTGGAGCACGTTTGTGGATTCCGACCACGAGTCGTCCGGGGTCGCTTCTTCCTACGTTTTACAGGTCCGCGTAAGGTGCGGACAAATCGCCTGGCAACTGAAAGACTGGCAGATCCGGATGTCAGACGAACTTACAAGAAAAATCCTCTAAAGTCTCTTTCAAATGTTCCGCCATCAGATGTGGACTCATACTGGGACGAGATTGCCACCTCTTTGCATAATGTTTGGAATTTCGCTTGTGGCAAGACACCACAAGGCGCACTCAAGCACTGGATATCAGACCGAACGGCGGCACTACTTAAATCTCGGAGAAATATCCCAGTCGGCACGGAACATAACTTGATGCGACGAATTATCAGACGTCAAGTGAAAGTGAGCATGCAAGCCGACCGTGGTGTGGTGGACACAGAAGGCCAATGAAATGGAAAAGGCCCAGAAAACCGGTAATACCCGAAGATTATTTCATTTGATCCGTACGAACGTCTCCCAGGAACCACCTGTGAGCGAAGCCATCAAGAATCGGAATGCAGTGAACATCTCGAATAAAGAGGAACGCCTCGACCGATGGGCCGATTACTTCGAACAACCATTGTCAAATCCCAAAACTTTTCCCACGTCGATAGTTGCAGTTTTGCTCCGCCCTGAAGTGCATCTGCCAGTGTGGTTTCAGCTGTCGGTTAGTTGTTTTTACATGACTGATAATGTCTTCCCCCGCTTCCCGGTAAAAATGCTTCGACGTAGTGTATGGTTAGTTGGAAATAAATTCCGGAGAATGTCTACTTACCACAGTTGACTGCACTCGACTCCGAGAGCACGAGCCCGCTCCACAAATGCATCAGAGTGGTACTTCTCATAAACGCCCTTCGGTGGCTAGCTCTATACAGATTACGAAACAGCCTCATTTCCAGCGACTGACACCACAGACTGGATGTCAGGATTACTGTCACGAAGGTCAGATTCCTGAAACTAATCCCAGAAACCTACTGAGACCCTCGAAATCCGTCAAAATCTCAATAGGTAAGCCGGTAAGCATCCAGGCCAATCGATCAATCGGTCAATTCAGCAACGGCCGATGAGTGTTCAAGCACACCACAGAAGCGCGGCCAACAATGATAAGTGTCAGATATTTCACAGAAGCATGATGGACGATGGTAAGCGTTCAGCAATTTTATATAAGCACGGTCGGCGATGATGTTTGTTCACCAAACGCCGATCAGACAGCCTGGATTAATGCCAAAAGTGGTCCTCAAATAGCGCGACGCCACTTGTAAATTTTGAATTCGCTTGTTCATAATAGAGCTGTTGCGATCCTTCTTGGCTAATTTTTTCCGACACCAAAGCACTGGAGCGGGGGCCTTACTTGACTGTACTGAGGCACGTTCTCAATCGGTCTCGATGACGCGACGTCAATGTCGGCAGAATGTTTGGTCGTGGACTTTCAACATCACTTCTTTGCGCCACCAGCATTACCGACCTACCGCGTCGAAAGCCCTATTGTTCCAAGTTGTTATTAGAACAGTCCAAAAGACGCAGTGGGAGTCCCCTAGCTTTTAAGTATATTTATATCACAATAGCAACGTTTTGCGTTCACAGACTCAGATTTCAGTGCTAAGGCTCACCTCAGCTTTGTACCATATCAATATCCATCTCTTCGTCTTCAACCTAACTAATTGAGGAGGGCACAAACCGAGGTATGCAAGTAAGGTTATCCGTTCCATACGCGCACTAGGCAGCTTGGACGTTATCTCTAAAGGGACAAGTCAGTGGAGAAAGTACTCGACTGGGATTCTGATTTGTAGCTCAATTAAGTCGGTGTAGTGGCCGATGCAACTAAAAGCTACTTTCGGGTTTTCCGGGCAGTCATCATCATCCTATACCGGAGGTCCTTACGCAAGCGTTATGCTTTGGCATCTGATAGTATGACCAAATTGACAGTGTGGACGAAGAGGAACTGGAGTAGGGGATAACCCTACCACAGCTCGATATGTAACTAAACTTGTATCCGAAGTCGAGCTTTGATTTCGGTTGACAGCATTCAATCACGCCGGAACTTCTACCAAACTTTTCAGTTTAGTGCTGAAGCCGTGAGCGGACCCTGTGACTTTTAGTTGCACGAGAACTGCACTCCTTATTGGGGCTCACATTGATAGGACCGTTCAATTCGTTTTCAGCTCACCAGCTTTAAGCCTTCTACCCTCTACCATATATTGGTTCCAGCTGCTGCAGTTTCGATCACCGGAAAGTGAGAGGGTGAGACATACAACCAATTATTGGTGTCGACGGCATGATTTTTTAGTTCGGGAACTGGATACCTACGCGTGGAAGGCAATAGCTTTGATGCACCAGCGCCGCTGAATGAGTGATCGGGCCAATTTCGCCAGTACCATTAACCATTGGTGAGTTGAGTACCGGGGTCCCCATCCAGGGTGGCGGCTGTCATCGACCCAACTCAGTTTACTGGTTGGTGTTTTCGTGACAGGTTATACACCGTCCACATCTCGGTTATTTCCACTCAGTATAGAGCTAAACGAAAAGAGCTCTATGAGACAGACAGTCTTCTGACATGCAGAGTATCTTAAACTTGTCTGGCGTACCTCAGCACTGCCAAACCGATGTTCCCATCAGACCCAACCAATGCTTCTGAGACACCGCTGGTCAAATACTGACAACTTTGTATGTCCTCGGCGCGTATCAGATCAGGTTTCTAATCCGGTAACCTATGAATTGTGAGTAATTCATCTACGGCTGGAGAGTTCTTCTTAAACTTGTCTGACGTACCTCAGCACTGCCAATCCGATGTTCCCACCAGACCCAACCACCTGAGACACCGCTGGTCAAATATTGACAACTTTGTATGTCCTCGGCGCGTATGAGATCAGGTTTCTGATCCATGAGGCATTGTGAATCGCACTTCAGCAGTGTAAACCCTGCCCTGACCTTCCCGACTCGCGAAGTAATCTCGTCTCCAACCAGTTCAACGGAACGTACACAAATGCACAGGTAAGCAAATTTATCTACCACGTCTACCGGCTTGTCTGCAATCATGAGGTTTGGGTTTGATCTCACCCAATCTTGTAACAGCACTTTATGCTTTACATGGGCGAAGCGCATACCGAGCCGCGCTGTAGAATCGTTAAAGTTATTTGAAGTGGTCTCCCTTTTCTTCGTCGAGCTGCTCACTGTTGACGCTCCCGGTATGGTTAACTCTTCGGGAACTGAGTTCCAGCAGCAGTGTATCCCATCTCAGCACTGAAGCCCGGTCACTAGAACAAGGTGACAGCCCTAGATTGAAATTTCCACTGCGCTGTTGGACGAGAACTCCCTAGTTGGAGTGTAATTCTTCCAGCTTCCTAGATGTTCAGTCTGGTTAGGCTCTCCGCTACCCAATACGGTGCATTACTTCGAACTGGGGTTTTTGAAGTGCCGAGTAGATAGCGTATTACTTTCTCGGCTGACGGTCGTCTAAACACTGCGGTATCAGTAAAATCATAAGTCCTCAGGAGATAAAAATCAGAGCTGCTTGTGTCACTGGCAATTCTCAATAGACGATAATACTAATAGCTTGTAATCATACCGTGCAGTTTGTACGTCCGAAATTTTATTTACTTCTTTAATTTTCAGATGTCAAACTGACACTTTGCACTGAGCTCGATGGAAAAAATCTGGAAGCTGGCGCCCATAAATACGGCATCGCCTTCAACTACGGGGATTAGGACGGATGACTACCAGTCAACATGATCTAGTAACCAAATTCTAGGCTTAAACAAGCACACCTTTTGCGCACATCTGTGCTGTTCAAGATGTAAAGTTCAACTTCCTTTCCTCCATACCGATACTCTTGTATTCACTCGTGTGAACTTGCTTTTAGACTCACGAAATAGAAAAATCAATAATATCGTTTTCATCTTTTCATATCCAACTGTTGTTTCGATGTGGGGCCTATTTCTTCTAGTCACGAAATCGTCGGCTGAACCCACGGCTGTCTCAAGGCAACCATATGTTCGTTATCAGTAGTCAATATTTGTATTTCTCACTCCAATACCCCTTGAGATCTTGTAATTATGCGTTATCCGTCGTTTTCAAGTCAAACTCAAACCCTCGTCTGGTTGAAAACGTTTTGCTTTTGCTTTTCATATTCGTTTTGTGGGTCTTTTGTTCCGCGTATCAGAAGGAGTGCCTCTGGTGCGCAGGATGAGTATGTTCATCTTGTTTGGACTCGAGTAGATTTACTGATTGTCCGTGCCTAAAAATCGCGTCTTCAAAACGCGGTTACTTGCACTCTCTTTTTGGTGCTTATTTATATATTGAGTTCCTGATTCTGGGTTGCTATCTTGATTTTACGTAAGTTCTCTCAAGGACTGAAACCCCATGCGTATCTGGTATGTTGAAATACGCAGGATGGCTCTTGGTTCTGAAGCCGTTCACTACTTCGAGAACGTAGACGTTTTGAATGCAATACGATGTAAGGGAGGTATGAGCTTTGTAGGAATTGGGCTCCTAGGTATTATTTTTGACTCTGAACAAAACATTCTATCTCAGGTGTGATTTTCAGTCTTTTCGGCATCCAAAGGCATCGTTACATAGCGTTTTCTTCAAACTTGTATTTCCAAACTAATCGTTGTATATAATCCGTGTGTAGTGAACCAATACCACGACGTATATAATCAAACACACCGGATGTTCGTTTCTTGCAGAACGCAGACCGCAAAGTAAAAAAAAAAACAGAAAATGGGTGTCTGTTTCGGTTGTTTAGTTGTTGTTAAAACTTTGTATCAAAGGTACTTCGACCTGGCTGTCACAGTTTCGTTGGTTGAGAATGTCGAGTGTAAAGAGGTAACCACCAAACACTGGTGACGATGGTCTAACCAGCTCATTCGGTTGTGCAGGTTTGTCATGTTGATGGATCGGATCTGATAATCATATTTCAAGCCAGTGGTGTCACTGCACGCGGGTGACATACAGACACTAGTTACCAGTGTAGTGTATGTGAGCATTGTTTTTGTCGAGGAGTTCGTTTCAGGGCTTCCGGTGTTCGATATGTTCCCATAAGGGTGAAGAGAAGGCAGAGGTTATTCTCCATTCGACCGGAGGGATCTATGAAAGTTCCCATCATTTTTCAGCTTACTGCTTCTCTTGGATTCCCATATGAGGTCAATGTCATGCTAAGGATAAATTTCACTTCTCCCTTTGAAGGTTTGCACCAAAGGGGACAATGTGTCGGTATTAGGGAGGTCGTTTCACGTATGTATGTATGTATAAAAATACCCGATAGGTTGCCTCCTTTTACTGCATAGCTGGTATGTCAGCTGAATGAACCATGAAAGCTGCAGTGCTAACAGGTTAACTAAGGCTAGACAGGAGTAGTCGAAAAATCCGAATTGTTCTCAAACTATGGGCTTTAGGGCAGCAGCTCTCGCCTTGACCGCCAGGCTATCCCGAATACTGAGTGGCATACCTATTCACCCTGTGCCTGTTCGCTCTAACCTTCAATTCACAGTGAGCGTTAGCACCCTGGCTTCACAGATGAGTGGTTGTCTTATGCCGAGGGTACTTAACTTTAGACGCTGTTGTAGAGCGGAATCTCTGGTAGGTAATTGACTGGGCCGGCAACTAAGTAGACAGACAGGCTAACAAGTATTTGTGAAAAGTTCTAACCCCATTTTCATTTGGCTGTTTGCCCGTGTTCAGTGAGGCACGGAACAGGACCACAACTGATTGTGTTATAATGGTATTTGTGGGTGTATTATGTGGTCAAATTAACAGTCCATCCCTACCTTAATTCCATTGGTGGATAGTGCCACCGAAGAGAACCTGTACGCTGTCTCGTGATGGCTGAAAATCATCTGAGGTTAGCAAATCATCTACGCAGTTCGCCCAAAAGGGTGTCAGACAAGCGCGGCTGTGCTCTTCCCACCGGGCGTTTGGTCGATATGTCGCTGATTACTTGTACTTGTTCTTAAAGGTGTCCTCGTATGGCGTTTTCCTTGGAGGTGCATGTGACAGCAAAGGGGCTTATGCTGGAGCTATTGCTCTGTTACGCAGATTGTAGTCATCAGTGTAAGGTCATAAGGTGGACATAATGGAAGTTGTTGAATATCCGAAATTTTCGTAAAAAAATGTAAGTGTTTTAATGGTCCCTGCTCAGTTTCAACGAGTACCCGCGTCTGTTTAGTTCAATACAAATGCCTGATCTCGAGTGACGTGTTTCAAGATGTAATGGTCATTCAACAGAGACTCCGTAAGAGGCATGTGTGTGTGTGTGACTTCGTCTAGACCATCAACAACGCCAGGAGCCGGAACGGATGGTCAGCTTAATGCGAAAAGGAAAGAGAGGAGTGGGAACCTATTGCAAAAAAACCCATGCCTCAAGAGAAAACGGCCAAGAGCGAGGTGTCTACATCTTCCAAAACCATTGAAATAAACACAATTAACTATCATGTTGGGGCAAGATGACCTAACGTCTTCTGCGAACGTAATCCAGCACACGACGACAGACAAGCGTTAGCTAGGCACTCCGGCTAAGAATTGATGGCATAGTCGCCATTAGGATCGGTTGCCTTGTAGGATTTCTAACCACGTTCAGGAACTACATGATCTCTATTCATTCAATCAGTCGCTCAGCTGCAGCACCTTTTCGTTGTAACGCCACAGTGCGACTCGAAGAGTGCACCAGGACAGATAATGCCAGGTTGCCAAAGCTTAAAAGAGATCAAGATAGCCGTTCAGTTATAGCACCCTTTCAGTGCTTAGCTGTCATGCCACCTGAAGGAAGTAGGAGGGTCGGGATAGTGCAGATCGCCCGAGTTTAGACAGGAGTAATCGAAAAGCCAGGGTTGATTTCAAAGTACGGACCTCACAGTCAGTAGCTTCGCACATTAACCGCTGAACTATATCAAGCTTGACCTCATCTAGGACGGCGCGAAAACCTCCGCATGTCAATAGCCTCTTCCATTTCTCGTTGCCACTTCATAGTCTGTCCTCCACGGACCTTACCCCAACAAACAGAAGTGGAGAACAAGACCTTCCGTAGACGGTGGTTGAGCATGCGTAGCACATGCTCGGAAGCATCGGTGATCAAATAGCTGAAAACTACGGTTTTCAGATTAGAGAAGCCACGTTCCACAGCCAGGGCATGTGATTGCTCTCGCGGTCGTTTTGAAGACAGTCCCATAGCCTCAATTTTATTCAGTTCTGACATCAAAGATGACGCAAATCGGCAAATATTACTCCTGCATTGATGTCTGCACTGATTTCGCAGTCTATATGGCTACGAATTAAGTACACCTATCAACAATCTTTCTATCATTCTTTCAAAGAGGTATGTGAGAGTCGTAAACTCTGAAGTAAATCTTGCGCTCTGGAGGCAAATGCAGAAACAGGTGACTGGTTCCGATATTCTGTTTGAAATACCTTTTTACCGACACAGATCGTCAAACAGGCAAATGCAGAAACAGGTGACTGGTTCCGATATTCTGTTTGAAATACCTTTTACCGACACAGGATCGTCAAACAACAGAACAACTTCATCCACTCCTCTAAATGTGACTTGGGCACTCAGATTCATTGCCTCTTGGATGGTAGACCCCATGGTGGCGTCGACAGAATCGAACAAGAATGGAGAAAGGAGACTGCTCTGGCGAGGTTTTTAGAAAGCTAGTTGTGAACCTCTACCCGACCAGAAGCATCTTGTCCAGAGGCAGACTGAAAATTCGCTACCCCTGTAAAAAATCTTTAGAGGGGCGGTGAATTACTGGCTTAGCTGCGTTTTGCATAAATAGTACTGAATTATAAAATGTCATCATTTCACTTGGGGTCTGCAGTTGTAGATAGGTAGAATCACATCAGCTAACGGGTGGTATGTTCGTCTGAATTTTTCGAATGAAAGTTACTCTTTCTGAACGATTACCTCAAGGTCAATTTCCAGTCATGGTGGATACATCTAGTAGTCATTCTTGCTTCGAACAAACTACAAATTAAGGAGCTATCACACTTATAATTCAGTATATGTGCTGCTCGAAGGGCTGGCAAACACGTGGCCACCTGAAGTGTATTCCGCGGTTGGAGAACGAATGGCGCTGCATCTCTTCTAAGTACTAGTTACCCATATAACTGATAAACTGCTCATGGTCAGGAGTTCGAATCTCCCACAAAATTAGCGGAATGCGCGCCACTGATGAATCCCTATAAGGCTGAAATAGCTGTGCAGCTTCGTCTGCAGGGCGAACTCCCAAATGCAATTTTCAGATCTTATATTACCAACAAAATATATGCAGTACTTCCCGCTCTCCCCAAGTTCCGTCGGATGGTAGGCTTTTGCACCGCGTCTATCACTGTAGCGTATGAGAGCGATTTGACCAAAAGCATCTGTCCAAAGCAGTGAAGCATCGGTGTTGAACACTGATGTCACGCTGTCGATGATGATGATGATGATGATGATGATGATCTGTCCAAAGCTACTTGTTTGCTGGCACAGCTTGATCGCAATTTAGGCAAATAAATTCACTATTAATTTCCGCTCAAGCAAGCATAATGTGATTTGACGATTCTACTCTACCTCACAAACAGGACCTCAGCATGACTGACCTATCTGAAGTGATTGCAAGAATGTACTTCAGATTGCTCCACCTATTGTGTGCTTCGAACGGGACAGTTACAGATAGTTCCTATAATTAGATGTGCACCAGTGTGGGAGTCAGGGTTTGGTGGGGACTGATGCTTGATTATTCATTCGAAATAGCAGGTAGGGTCGTTGGGCGATCATCGTTTGGGGTTCTTTGTTTCATCCTTATATTTGGCAGGACACTGACCTACTAGGAGAGTGCATTCCTACTAGCATCGAGACGTCTAAATGAGATATCTCATTGCACCAACTCCCCATCAGACCTCTGGGCACCCAACATGGTACAAGTAGATTCAGGCTGGGATACTCAACACCAAACGGTGGTCGCAGTGAGACGCTTGTCTGCCGAAGTACATTCGAAGTGCTTGCGGCTTTATTCTTAATGCGGATCTTTTTTTGGGTGGCGTTATCCCAATAGCCACATCGATCGTTAGCAGTCGAAATCGATTAGCAGGGCGTTGTTCTCATTCATACCAGGTGAGGTATGGTTCGACCGATTCCGTTCCGCTAATTTGTTTATATTTCTGACACCAACTACGCCAAGTCCATCTATTCTGCAAGAGTATATTGATTTTTCCGTGGACATTTGGCAGCGCGGCCAGTCAGTGCAAAAATAGAAACCGCTGAGTAGGATTCCCACACATACACAGTCAACTCTTAAATCAACTGTTCGCGTCTTGCTTGAACGCTGTCGACAATCACGTCCATATGAAAATCGAGTATCGAATGTCCGACACCTTGAGGGTTATCACATGCGCCTCTTTCATCAATGAGCCAGATTTCGAGGTGAGATTCAATGATGTCGAAATGTTACAAACGACCGATCCACAATAAGCTGTCACCCGCACTTCGTATGTTCTCCGTGCCTCACGAAAGACATGTGATGACTCTCCCCTACGTGTTAGTCTGTTTTTCTAGGTACGCAGCTAGTCAGTACAACGGCTGTTTTACACAGGAAGGAATTACGGAGTTATTGATTTTGTCTCAACAGTCTGGAATCCGACAGTTATTCTGTCCGTCACATCAAATACTATTGATCCACCATGGACTTCTCAGAACCGCTCAATTTAATTAGGTTGGGCAGTATACCTGAAGACATTTGATCATAGGGAATCTACGTGGTCGATAAAATGATAAGGGAAAACACTGATTGCAATCAGGGGACAATATTAGGATTTATACCGGTTGAAAGACTTGGTTGAAAACAGACAGGTTTCATTCCATTCTAGAAAGAGGTCGAACAACTTTTTTTCGAGAGCGAGGAAACAGTTCATTATTTTGCTTAGGCACACACTCGTTGCATTATTGATTTATTACCGGTTGCAATTTTGTTTATTATAACTCCGGTTTAGCACCAAATATGAGGTGCCATTATTCACAACTACTGGTACGTTGCTGCTGCAGGCAACAGGTCAGGGGCTTAGCCATCGCGCTCGCTTCGTATCAAATGCCAATCATGTAATACGCAGGTGATTTGCTTGAACAAATTTATTTGATTAGAGTTCGGCTGATGCCCCTTATTTCAAATGATCTCGTCGAGGAAATTTTGGTGACAGGTGTACACCCTCAGTCTTACTTTGCAGTTGTTCGGGGCAAGAATACTTTGCTGAAAAGTCTCAGTTCCACAAAGTTGAAGTTTACTCTATCAAACTTTAGGTATTGACTGACATTCCGTGAGCAAACACAAAAAATCGTTTTCAAAGGACTTGGATCACACAGTATACGTTATTTCCACAGGAGCGGTGACGGCATTTATTTTGGGGTCTGTCACTCCTCAAGGCCAAGTCCACTGAAGTGTGCAAGTAGTAGAAGTCCTCTTTTGAATTAGGCATGTGTTGAGGATTTGCTATAACACATCGATATCAACACCGGCGTAAAAATACTAATGCCTGACCGCCAAATAACTGTCACAGGACTTGGATGTAAAATTGTTCAGCTGTAGCACCCTTCTGGTGCCTAACTGCCATGCCACCAGAAGGAAGCACGAGGGCTGGGATACTGTCCGGTTGCCCAAACCTTGACAGAGAAGGTCAAGAGGCAGAGGTTGGGTTCGAACACGTACCACCNCATTAAATTCCTGCTGTGCCTTCTCGCCCCCTCTTAGATATAACCCTTCAATTAAAAGGAGAAACGGTGGGGAGAACTTTTGATAAGAATCTCAGAGTAACCTTCATCGAGGATATCTGGTGACGGAACGCTTATGAGATGAAGAAAAAATAAGTAAGCCTGAATTACACCCCAGTGTCATTTAGAATGGCACAATCACTAACCCAACGCTACGCACCACTACGTTCCCTAATAACTCGCTGATGATGTCACCTTGATTGGTGATGAAACGTTTGCAATCAAATTGCCCAGCTCAGCGAGCAAGCCAACGACCATCTGAGCTACCAACATTTTCCTATATAGGTGCTTTCTCATTCTTCTTCGGTCTGTGTTTAAGCTATGATATTCGTTGACCTGCGTGCCCGTTATTGTTGAGCGATATTCAAGACACACGGGTCTGTCAATGTTAGACTACAATACATTGGTTAGCCAAGACCATCTCCGTTAGGTACAGGTGAATGGCTTAAAAGTGGTGCCTGACAAGATTGTTTAATTTCGTCATTGGTGAGATAATGAGGCAGCCAGGAATATCCAAAGGACATTGTTTCCCTTTTTGGGGAAGAGCAGAAAGCGCAAGCATTACTAGAAGAGCTGACCAGGGTCACCCTCCCCTTCAGCATGTACTGCGCGCCCATAAAGTACAAAACAATGCCGCGGAACTACCGTTTTTGAGTGTGTCTGTAATATTTCAAGGATGATCCACACTAAATGCTATGGAACACTACATATCTTGGAAGTTGCATTAGCTCTGACGGTAGCGTGACAGATGAGGTAGGTGCACGAATCTCGAAGACCATAATTGTGTTTACCTCACCGGTGGCATCAAAAGGCATCTCACTTGGTCTCAAAGGATGAGTGGATCAGACTAAATTGTGGGCTGCATTGTTGCTCGGCCAATGTGGGTGGAGGACCTGAGACGTCTGCAGGTCTCCGACCGCCAATGTCTCAAAACTACAGTGGGAACAGGCCGGAGTCAGCGAATTCGGAATGAGGCGATCAGGTGGCTACGTCCAGCGCCGCAAGCTAAGGAGGCTTGGTTATGTGGTAAACATGCCCACTTACCGGCTGTCGAGACCAGCACTGTTTTCTGTGCCTATTTTGCACTGGTGGGAACCTAAAATTGAACAGAAGTTTACGTGATAGATGGAAATGGAGAAAATCTGGATTCTATTGGTCCTGTTCACCTTCCAGGATTTGGTCCAAGTGACTGTGCGCGCCTGGAGACACTGAACGATATGTGGCATTCATGTCATTTCCTTACCAGATTGTCTGACTGAATGTTGGAGGTGTAGGTACATCAAGTGTCGGTTTTGGGCTAGTTCTAGGTCTCTTCCTGTCCATTTTTTATTTCCATTGTCAAATTGATATGATGAAGCACCAGTGTTCTCGTCTTTTGCTGTCATTAGTTAGACTGATGATTACTATTTGCAAGAACTCTCAACAAGGTCTATTCTAGCAGCACGCAGTCGCAATTTCCTCTGGCCAGAAGCTCACATTAGTAGTTTGCTTTGTATGGGACACAAACTTTCCAGCGACATCATAAGGTTGCCGAAATTTGTCAAACTGTCGATTTCACTCTTCTTGGGGCGACTTTCCTCAAGATTCCTTCCTTATTGTCACCATCCACTCACCACCTCGTACGAATGTTCTTTTCACTTGTGATCCCTTTCCAGTTGCTACAGGATAAGTAAAAGTCAGTTACTGTGTACGATATGTACCGCCAGTCATTGCAAAAGGGAATCAGAGCGACGGTACTCTCATATTGAAAAAAAACTTCTCAACACCAGCCGCAACACAGAGCTACCAAAGCGAGCGACCGCAGTGTGTGAAGAATTACAAGCATGCGTATGACCGGATTATCATGCCCGGTATCGTAATTTGCGTACAGGCGTGTGCCGCTTTCCGTATGTCAGTGCAATTTGGTTAGGTAGTTATGAGAAAATGACTCTTTCCATTTACAATATTTACTGATTTATGCTTGCAAAGCAGATCGCCTTCAACCCAGAATATCTAAACTGTTTCTCCTCAGTGTTCTCCGTTCGAAAACACATGGCCCATACCCAGCAATTCTTTTAGGCTCAACTATTTGCCCAGAAGGTATCCCAATTACCTGACTAGACGCATGGTCAGCTCACAGCAGCAAGTTTTTAGCTCTTTCACCAGGGTTTTTTGCTAAGCTGCTTTCGTAGATTTGATGCCATCTGACGCGAAGCGACCTAACATCCAGTGACCGTGTCCTTCTGACACGAATAAGTAGATTACCTTGCAGTGAAATATCAAAATCTCCACAATATTTTTTGGGGTTTATACTCATGTTAGCTCTGTTTTATAGCCGCCAAGCTCTATCACCTGAATAATTGGTCTCTTGGTGGATCGCAAAATTAAATCACACAGTCCTTTCGAACAGATAGAGTTTATTAGTGCATTTAATCTCTACATCACCTAAACGTGGTAAAACGGACTTCTTAATTTACGGGTCGATTCATCCAACACGTGACAACACATTCAATGCGGAACTTCTCAAATTCAGTACGGGATGTTCGTCTGCATGAAATGGAATGGCGTTGAAGGAGGACGGGCCCACAATGTGTGGTATCCAGCCTTTGACGGAGATCACCATGAAGAAAGGCCACGTACCCTTAGAGAGTGTGCAATATTACGCCCCGCCAGCAGTGGCCTAGTGTGCGATCTCCTGGGAGAAAACCACACTTCCAGGCGTTGGTATCCATTTTGAACACGTTGTTGCCTGTTAGTGAATAGAATCGTGAAATGGTGAGGTCAAATGAACCAAAAGTAGCGCGCTCAGCAATGGCAACAGGTGGCACGTGAACTCATAGGCAGCTGTCTCATTTGTGTTAGCCAGTATAAGTAAAATATCATGTAGCCCTGCTAGCATAAAGACGATGGGTTGCATTGACGAGACAACGTAGGATCACTCTTCATGACATATTGAGAACCGCACCCATATAAGTCAACACGACGATTGATCACTGTCACTTAGCTTAGAAGACAGTGAGATTGGGCTTCGAATTTAGCCTTACTCTTAGCCGTACGGTGCGTGCTTTTAGAAAAAACACGTCGGTTGTCTACTGATTTTTTTCAGCGCGCTATAATACTTGGTTTGCCTCTACCAAACGTATTCGAAACAGTTCAAGCGGATGATCATCACTATACCCTCTACACGGTTGCTAAGTTTATTTTTAGAAAAGTCCTGACAGCTAAAAAGTGGCTTGATCAAATCGTGTGACACGCCGGTTTCCGTTCACAATTCTAGTAGCAGACGAGGTGATATTTGTCACCGCCCCAACCAGGATTGCGCAACGACATAGCTAAAAGAATATTGCCGCTGATACTAGGGTACACCGCTCAATGGACCATTGTTTTTATCAACCTTTTATGAGGCTATACGCCAATGGAGTAGCTTTCACAACTAACATGCGTAAACGCTTCAGAGCTTGGAAGAACAACTCGCTTCTGGGTGATTGCTCTTTGTCCATCCAGTCGCTTGTTTGTTTGTGACTCGTAACTTATACTGGTCATGGGAACTACCCGAGAGAATTTGTGGATGACTTGAAACTGTCCATGGATTTAGCTTCAAAATGCCAACGGATGAACGAGCTGAAATCGTCAAAATCGAAATGGATCACTTAGTCAAACTGTCATAATTGCACAGGCATTTAGCAGGTGCTCGCAGGCTGACTACTGTACAACAACCGTTAACTTTGTCAGCAGACTCTCACCCATCGATCGGTCATCGAAGAATGACAGACATCCGCGCCACGTGGCAATGCAGTGTGGGTCCGATATCTATAGGCCTTCTGCTGTTTACGGGTTTACGCTTGTTTGTCACTGTCAAAGCGGTTCGGTGGCGGGTTGTTGAAACCAACTACTACTATTACTGTGCACGCAAATAAGCAAAAAGTGACTTCAGCAACTTGTGTGAATGCTTATTTCGGAGTGTTTTTACGATGGCCCCGGTTCACCCGTCTGCCTACGAAATGCCAATTCCTTTCAAACGTAAGGGTTGTTAGCCTCGATCGCTTATGCATTGCAGTACACCTGATGTTTATGCCTTTGCGTAGATCCAAGCTTCTATTGTAACACGAAAATGAGGAAAGATGGACGACGCGCAGTTATCTCATTTCAGCTCGTGCATCGACTGAGGACCATCGTAAGTACCACCTGATCCCCACGCAGTAGGAAATAGAACAAGAACTTATATTGAGAGCAAGTCACCTTAGAGTAAGAGGTACTATAGCTATAACAGCTCATCCCAGTATGCGTAATCCCGTTGTTCGATGCCTTTGTTGAATTCAATCTGGCACAATCGCCCACAAGTACGTCTGTGATTGTTGGTAGTGTGAGGAGATTTGGGATTTTTGTGGAGATTTCGTCCGTTCGGCCACAAGTGGTTAGGTGTTCAAACTACTAGCCGGGAGGTGGCGGGTTCGAGACTCTTCGGAGTTTCGTGAGATGCGCACTGCTGATGATTCCCAATAAGGATGAAAAGGCTGCACAGTGCTTCTCGGCTTTTCAATATAGGCTGGCTTCACTTACAGAACGAAATCTCCACGCCTGTGATTAGTATTATCAGTGTTGGTCCAGTACGCCGATTATTCTTCAAGACCATTTTACTGGAAAGTGCACGCATAACAAATGCTCACACAGCATTTGTGTGCATTTACGGGTTAATAGACAATCACATTTTCACAGCTTATTTAGCTACTATCAGTGTACTTGCTGATACTACTAATAATGATGGTGACAGTTTCGTCCATATTGGTCCTCTTTTGCATCCCATATCAATAAAACTATCATATGCGAGTTGTTTCAGGTGTCTCCGGCCTGTACGAGCTCCAAACTACCGACTGAAGGATTGTTTAACAGTGCTTCCCTGGTCTAGATCACCCAATGGCCACAACTTCCTTGGAACTTGCAACTTCAATGGAAATAGTGTTGAAGGGCACCATCTCCTCTGGTGATCAATACTCAAACACGTAACTCTTATAATGTGCATGCATGAACATTGGTTAGACAATGATACATGTTCGTCTCCGTTTGAATCAACTCATCACAGAAATAGGAGATTTGTTTGAAAGGTGCGCGTGAGTGTCATCGCTTCACTTCTCATGCTGACCAACACAGAGTCCGCATGTCTGTTTGTTCACACTTTGTTACGGAGTCACCAAGACACTGTGGTTACCTATAATGAATTCAGCGTGAAATCCAGACGTTGGTTGTGATTCGATGATGATCAACCCTGCTTGTTTACCATCAATTAGCACCAGCTTCAACGGTCGCTGATGAACGAAGCAGAGGTATGCTAGTGTGCAAATGAGCAATGCCGAAAACATGTCTGGTAATATGCATTCTCAACTTGTTTCGAAGGTAAAGGCTCACTAGTGCTCGAGGGTTCTGGGATGTTTCTGGGTTTAGCAAAACTGGGGACAACCTTGAGGCACAAATTCCTTCAATGTGACATTGCAAGCTTCAGCCATACAGCAGCCTTCCTTACTAGAATTACGTATAAACAGATGAATTATCGTGTCACTCCAGACTGATCGATGCGAGATGGGGTGTGCGATGCAGGATGGACTTACTTCGTGCTCATGCAGATCAGCAGACGAACACATCAGAATTCCAGCCGGTGGGCAACGGTAGCTACTCCCAAAGAACTTCTGGCTGAATGTTCTCCTCTGAGAGACCTAGTTTGCTTCAGTTTTACTGGCAGTTTATTAAGTCAGAGGGATAAGTTCGACTGATCAGTCGTTTGCCGGGCTATTCCTGTGTTATAGTCATTGAAGGTAATTTTAAGCTGCATTCAAAACAGAGTTTTATGAGCTCTAAATGCCAGCATGTTTGTCGAGTGCTTCTGGTCCTGGGTTATAACTATGAATCATTGTCATCCTCAGTTCAGGAAGACGTTTGTTCTACACCTTAGCGCTGTATCCATCCGTCCATTCAGCTTCCTTTTCGGGATTTTGCCACATTTGATTGGCAATTTTGAATCAATCCGAAAACAACCGCACCTAGTGGAATATCTTGGCTGGTATTTGGCACACATCGTGCTGTGATGTTCCGCCGTCACTCACGGATTCCAAAAACAACACCTGTCATCTGTTCATCCGAATTCTCGCATCGATCCCTGCATTTATATCCCCCCTGTGCCCTTAAAATTATGACAAGTTAGTCTCCACAGAACCCGGAAAAAAGATTATGACTGATCGATCGAGGATGAAAAGCCCACTCAAGAGCAAATACAGCGAGTGTGTCGTAAACCATGTAAGGGGATAATAACGGTGACAAACTAAACGACAAGCAAACAAACCACAGTCATTTATGAACCGCTGTGCATTCACAAGAAGCATGTGACACTGGCCACTACTCCGAAGTTTACATCGAATTGCTGGCCGTAAGAAATGCCCTGCACAGCATACTTGGTCGCAGAACAGCAATCAGTGTGTCGTAGTAAGAGATAAACCTAAAACGCTCTTGGCGAGGACACAATTAGGTACCCTTGTGCTTCAACCAAGTGTATACAGGCTTTTCACCCCATCCAATTATGAAATAAGTTCCGACATTTGCGAAATACACTCGTTTTAAAACTAATTTGGCTTTGCGAGAGACTCGCCTGGAATCCAGCTGAATCTTTCGTTTGTGATGTTTCGATATTATTGACCAGGGGCTGATCAACCTGAAAGTAAGTCAACTCAACCGAAAGATCTGATTAGTCAACACAGTGACTCAACATTTCCCGAATTTTCAATACTGAACATTGTTGACCTTCTACTTGCGTTGAATAACTCATAATCAATATATTTTTGTAATACACTACTCGTAAGGTTGCTGAAACCCCTTGACAGCCCACGACCGGTTTTGCCCTTCTTGGGGCTCATCAGGTCGTCGCCCCAAGTTTGCGTCAAACTTATGGTCTACTTGAAACCAAATTGCACGAAATTAACGAAGTACACTGATTTGTAAACTAATTTGGTTTTTGCGCGAGACTCACCTGGAACCCAGCTGAGTCTCTCCGTTTCGATGTCTCCAAGCTGGGTTCAGGTAAGTCTCTCGAAAAACCAAATTAGTTTGCAAATGAGTGTATTTTGCCGACTCATAATCAAGTTCAGCTTCATGAAGCTAGCCGTGACGACAAGGAATGATGACCTTCACACTGGTTCATTAAGTCAGCTACTCTCATTTGTACACTATTTTGGTTCTGACGAGACGCTCAAGTGAACCTGGACTAATCACTCGTTTATAGTGGTTTTCTTCAAATGAATGTACTGCACAAATCTGTCGCACGTTCTAGAATGTACGATATTTTAGATGCCACAGTACATTATCTGGACAACAAATTACCCATAAGTTTGATGAAAACTCTGCGACAACCGGTTTCGCACTTCTTCGGGCTCATCAAGTGAGCGCGTTTTCCAAGTTCCCGTCAACTTTATGTTCTGCTTGAATTCAAATTGAACGAAATTCGGAAAATTCTCTCATTCGCGTACGAAAGTGGCTGTGACGGAAGACTGAACTCAAACTAGCTGAATCTCTCTGTTATAAGGGTTTGCTTCAAATAATGTATCGCTTGTAAATGTGAATACAAGAGTGATGTTCCACAAGCAAACATCCCTATCGATGAAACATTATGAATTCCTTGAGGGTGCTTTCTCGAGGTGCGAATGCTGCCTGTGCAAATGAGGCTTGACCGCACTCTGAATCAACCTAGCAAACAGTAACGAGTTGCGACCGAGGGACCAACCCAGTTGATTCGGTAGGTGGTTCCCTTACCACATTCGAATTCGGCACCTGGCAACTGACCACTTCTGTCTTTCGATTGACGGAAATCTATTGATTTGCTTCGTTCTGGTTTCCAGTTAATAGAAACATAAGGCTTACGTAACCATTGATTTTCTTCCGCCTGGTCCACCTGTTTGTTTTCAGGTAATAAGATAATCCGACAAAAGCTATTCAAAGTTGACATTGCGATCGATTAGTTCCAAGGCGAATCACTTTCTACTGGCGAGTTTACCAGAGTTAGTAAACAGCATTCCTCAAGTGAGCGAGTGTGTTTTGGGTGGCGCATGTGAATCTGCGGGTGGTTGGACTGAGATTATGGACGTAAAATTACCCTAGCTAAGCCACACTTGGAATCTGTTTATTGATTTTTCGCAAGGATGCGCAAGTACGTGGCAAACAAAGGTCCAATGGGATTGTTGTAAACTGTCAGGGACACGTTTCAAAAGGAATCTGAAGGCCATTAATTTGTTCTGTTAAGTTTTTTAAAGGAGTTAGGGTGATGTATGTTTTATATATATATTCGTAATATATGGTTCAGAATTTGAGATGCCAGCGCTCCTTAGGCTATCGATTGGTGTGTTAACTCATTTGCCGTCAAGGAACTGCGAAGTATTCTGCCGAATTTCAAATCGAACTATTTTCCAGAAAGCTTACGCATCAGAACCACAGTCATTGCGGGCGTAGGTCTATGAGAATAGGAAATCATTCAGTCTACCTTCTAATGCAACTTTACAGATGCTGCAAAACACGTGTACATCTAGGATCTCACCAGTCAGCAGATCACCAAAAGGGGTCACTTTGTTGTTTGTTTGTTTTGTAAGCACAAGCTACTTCATTCCAACAAGTAGGGTTACCATGTGGGCCCGAATTCGAGAAAAGGAACCAATTCGTCAGTATACTTTATTCGTGTTGCACGCACAAAGTCAGCAGTACAGCGGGATAAAAAAAATCTTTCAGCTGTAGCACAATTTCGGTGCCCAACTGCCATGCCACCCGAAGGTTGCACGAGGGCTGGGATACTGCCAGGTTGCCCAAGCCTAGAGAGGGGAAGTCGAGAGGCGGGGGTCGGGTTCGAACCACGGACCTTCCGGTCAGTAAATTCGCGCTCTAACCACTTGGGCCATCTCGCCCCTGCATCCGGATAACCAGTCCACCGTGCTATGTGGCAAACACTATTCTTAGCAAGCTAGACGAAAGGTCTGCAACAATTAACTTTTGTCAGATGTTTTGATTTTCCTACATCGATTACCTCAGACACAAAAGCTTGATATGCAGTGCTGAAGTATTGACCGTGACGATCAACGTTATGCCAGCTTCGGTCTCAAGACGTTCTTTCAGATTCGGAGGTTTTTACATCTCATTCCGGAGCAAGATATGTACAGATTATAAAGACAGAAGCTGGGAGTCGATTCGAAGGCACCATATAAGGTTCGAACTCTTGTGGTCAGAGTGGTGGTCCATGGCCTTATTCACTAGACCAGTGTGAAACGAGTTCGACTTCAGTTTAATTCACTGTTTTCTAAACGGACATTTAATTGCAGCAACAAAATTCTCCGAGATTTCAAGAATTCGCACCCAGTCGCGAATTTATTATATTCTCTAACTCTTCTCAGTTTGCTCAAATGATTGCTCCCTTAGCTAGTGTGTTCTTGCGGTATTCGATAAGGTCTGTTGTTGTAGCCACGTCCTCATTTTAACGACCGAAGCGAAGTAAAGGGCATTCAAGGATAAGAGACTTAGAAGTAGCCAATCACGGAAAGCGGTCCTCCCCCGTCTACTCCATGCTGACCGTCGTTGTTCGGTCTGGTCGTGCGGCCGAACACCATGAGGCAACAGGCTTGTAAGGCACAACGTACAGCTTTTCAAGGCAAACATCAAACAGTGCTCCTCCTTCCTCACTACCAAACACAAGTGACCACCAGTAACCAGTTTCTACTGCGCCTACTCACTTCTAATGAATTCCAACGGTTCAACCATGGTGCAGTACGAATGAAACTGTACGAATGGTGTGTTATATCAAGAAAGTCCACTCCACTATCTCTAGTACTATACCAACTCAAACATAGCGGTGGCCTTTATATCGTTCATCCAATTGAAGACTAGCCTAAAAGAAAGATCCGGTTGGGTTTCTCGTTAGCGTCAATGCTAACATAAGGTTGACGGAAACCCGAAGACTGCCCCTTAGGAAGCGAGAAACTGCTAGTAGACCGTCGAGATCTTTAGTAACCTAATGAGTAATATGCTATGTCAAAAAAAGGAACGGAGCTTAGAAGGCCAGTGAAGAAGTGAAACAATGTTTCAAACCGAACATGCACCATATCCTGTGTGTGTGTGTGTGTCTGTGTGCAATCGATGAACAAAGTGGAGGAAGGCTTGACGTCTGAGCTGCCTTTGTCAAATGTCTTCAGTGTTCTGTCTGATCTGCCTGTCGTAAGAGTGCCGGCAACATGAAACTGGTAAACTATTTAGTGATGTGCAAACATTTTGACTGAAGTACCAGCACACAGTTGTAAACAGCATTCTGCGCTAGTCCAACCAAAATAATAGACCAGCAGGCTCTATGGTCCAAAAGAATGAGTTCCACATAAACCTGTCTCCCGCACCTGGTACATACTCTGCAACTGCGATTTCACAGGCATGTTGTTCCTGTTCACCTGCCCGACACACCTAAGTTTTGTTGCAATTTATGTCCGATTGTGTCTATTGGGATGCATCGACGCATTTAGCTCAGAGAACTGGTCTACTTTCATATGGGATCAACTGCAGGTTTCCCGATATCATCAGCACGCTCGGCAGGCATCTGAATGATGGTGCCGTCTCTCCGTCACACGAATCCCACAGTGGTTCACCGTCGCAACGGAGATGTGTTATGTACAGGGCCCACTAGTATGAGGAAATTCGATTAAACGCGACCAAACAATAACCATAAAATCATCGATTACTCTATCATTATTTCGCACTTCTCAAACAGTTGTCTCTGATCTTTGTCCAGAAAATCAGGTCGACAAACAGTAAACCACCAGAGCTTCAAACGAAGCGATAAAAAGATACGATCGTCTTTTGTGGCTGGTGGCTAGTGAAAATTGCCTTATGCTCCCAAGAAACCCAAGATCACGTCAGGTAGTCATCAGAACAATTCTGAAATCAACTCTGGAGTGTCAAAATCACGCCAATCTTTTGTAAATACGCATGGCGTTCATAAAAAATTTCGCACACTTATGTGAAATATTCAGGCTCTCAGCATCCTTGACGTATAAGCTTTTTCACTGGTACAGGCTACTCAAGAATTTCACTTTCACACCTAATCAGCCACTGCTAACAAATGAATTTAAGCGTCAGTAATTCGAATGCCGATGCACTGAAATCGAGTGAAATTAACTTTGGCAAAATGAATTGGGATTACTCTGAAAATTCCCATTCAGAATAAGAACACAGATTGATTGGCGGACATGTTTACTGCAAGGGCTTTTCAATTCAGACAGTCTCAAAGGTTAGGAGAACAGTGTGTAACATATTTGAATGGGCATGATGTACATGAACAGGAAATTGAGTGAGAGACGACATTTGCTACCTATCAAAGAACAATTAGTTCAGGTCACCAATAGGGGTAGACTTGAGCTTATCAGCGAGGATAGTGCACAGGATGTACGTGTGGGAGGAGGTGAGTTGGACCGTGGCAAGTACGACACACAAATAAAGTGTTTTTACCTACAGAGGATAGGGTCGCGATGTCGTATGGCGATAGTTTCAGCCACTGCGACTGTGCATTGCTTTAGTGATCTGGGTTGATTGGCCGGCGCCTTGTAAACAACACGGAAGCTCTGGTTATGCGCTGTCTGCTAGGTTTGTACTACTGAGCTCTCTATAGTCCTCCTAGTTCCAGAAGCCAACCAGAGTGAAGTATGTTTCTTCATTCTTTGACCGAGTTGCCTGATCGTGCGTCCGATGTAATTGGAATTGCATATCTATCAACAATTTTCAACCCTTGTCTTTGTTCAGAACAACCAGTTCAAATCTGACAATCAAATACTCTTCAATTGTACTAGCTTATCAAAAGTAACAGATTTTGTACGTCCCGATCTCAGTAAAATTTCAAATACTTCAAACTTTCTCCTAAATGGACTTTTCTGTAAAAAAAACTTCATCTCTTCATATCTGGGAAACTTCACAACAAGCCCCCGATTGGTGGACGGTGTCTCAAATTACTGCCCCAAACTTTGTTGTCCTCGCATGTCTACAGGTGTCTCCGGACAGTGGGGTTGAAGGAAACTTTTGTAAGGCCAACAATGCGCCAGTGAAACCGCAAAAATGAGATATTAATAATGTTTTGATTCCTACAAACTACCCCAATCCGTCAAGAGTAGTTACTCCCAGTTTTTCTACATGAAGTGCATCCTGGAGACAAGTAAGGACACACTCACAAACAGATAAATAAAGCCCGTAAAAATCCTCAGTTGTTCTTATCTGTGAATTGGTACGTAGATGATAGCGTGCCAACAGGACCTTCACACAAAAGTGAAGTATGCAGGAGAATATCCACCTGATAGACAAACTGAGACGATCTGTCCCATGTACGGAAGCACATGAGGGGCCGACCAACAGCTGGTAGGCTCCTTTCCAAACAGGCTTTCTCGTAACGCATGTGCACCTGATGCACAATAACGTCCATGCTTTCGGGTCACTATATTGCATCCATTGTCTTTCTCGAAACGACCCTTCCGTAATAAGATCACGGATTGGTTATTGCATTTATTTTTGAAGCGAGTTTTATAAGTCGGTTAAGAGAGAAAACTGGTGACCAACGAAAGAAAGTCCTAATATATTAATACATATTTAGCCTTTAGATGATGTTGATGAATGGTTACAAAGACAAAGATGGCTAACGAACCATGGTCACCCATCAACGTCGTTTGGTCAGTGTCCTTCAATCTTTCTGGGCTTGAGTTCACAATGTCATTATGATCACTGACCGGCATGGACTCTGGGTGGGTTGGAATTAAAACTACGTGTGTTTTGTACCTTTTTAGTGTTCTAGCGTGCTAGTAAGGTCTTAAGTGCCAGAAAAATTAGTGACAGGTGTTCTTCGTCGCACCGATGGATATAGGTTGATTGCAAAGATCCCACATAACTGCTGTCCTCGCGAATTCAACTCCATCGAATCTGAAAATTTATGTGACGTCCCTG